GCTAGAAATAATGTGTTTGACGTCATATATAAATGCTAGCCGGGGAGTTGCATAATATTCTAGCGTATAATTTATAAACCTTTGGGAAAATCAGTGTCAATTTTGTAAAATGCTTGATCAAGTGACTGCCGAGTGAGGGCTTTTATACTCTAATCACTTATCACTATTTTTACCACGCGTTGCTAAAAAATGTTTACGATTATCCTTTTCCCTCCGTATGTTTGTTCGTATTTATATATTTGTGATGATTGAAACGTCATGCGGTTTAGTGTTGATTTTGTCAATAAAAACAGGATTGTGCTATCTACACATATTTTTTTACTTCTCATACATTCCTTATTAATTTATGTCATTTGATATTCATTAATTCAGTTGGTTTGACGGCCACAAATTAAAATGGTGTGTATAAAGTAAAAATAGGTGTGTGGATAGCACACCACTAAAACTAAAATGAAACAACATCTTATCATCTGATTGGTAACATGGATTGTTTGGGATTTTATAATCATCTGATTTAACATGGATTGTTTGGGAGATGATCAAGTATAATTACAAAATAAAATGACTTAGAAATGCAGCATGGAAGAATGCCAATTGATGACTCACACAAATAGAATACAGGTTTGGCACGAGCATAACTGAAAGATACATAGTCATTGGCCATTAAAACAAGAAGCAAAGTAACTTTGTCCATCCCCCAATAGGACTGTTTCCCTTGAGGTGGAAACTATTAACCATATAGATTTGGATTAGATTGAGTTTGTTACATTTGGATTAGATTGAGTTTGTTGAAAAACAGTTAAAGTTAGAATTTGTTGAAAGGGTAAAAGTGTAAATCTGCTCAGTATAGTTTCTATATAAGCCTTGTTTAGAGACTTAGAGCAGTATCATGTAATCATAAAGCTTTCTAATATTCATTGAAAACAGAAACGTCTATCTCTCTCTTTCTTACTACTTGTTCTTCGTTTTCTTTAGTCTCAAGATTTCATTGATTCCGTAGAGTTAATATGGTATCAGAGCCGGCATTGGCTCACTGCCGTTGTCGATCCTAGGTTTTCCGCTGCTGCAATTCACAATCGAAGCGTCGCTGAGGATTTTGCCGTGAAGTGAAGTTTTGAAGATTTGGGGTGTTCTTCATCACAAGCGTCGATTCAGGTGATATTGTGTCTGTTTTTCTGCTGGGTGATTGGGTTTCAGTCCTGATTAACTGTTCAAAGATTTCCGAATGTTGTGTGTTTGTTTCTGAATTCTTGTGTTTGCCTACTACGGGAGTTTCATTCTCTCTTGATTCATAAGAAAGTTTCAGTCTTTCTTGATTACTACGGGAGTTTCATTCTCTCTTGATTCCTAAGAAAGTTTTAGTCTTTCTTGATTACTGCGGGAGTTTCAGTCTCTCATTTTCTTTCTTTCTTGTTGAACGGTTCTGTTTTCTTGCATTGAGAAGTCATGACTAATCCTAGTGTGAAAGTTGAAAATCTGTTGGGCATGATAACTATCAAATTGAAGGAAGATAATTTTGCAAAGTGGGCATTTCAGTTTAAGTCTGTGTTGAAAGGGTATAAATTGTTTGGGCATTTTGATGGGACTCTTGTATGTCCACCCAAATTTGTCATTCATCCTGAGAGAGGTGTTACTTCTGCCCTTACTGATGCGTATGTTGACTGGGAATCCACAGATATGGCATTGTTGAGTCTTTTATTAGCTACTTTGTCTGATGAGGCTATTGAATATGTTCTTGGGTGTGTCACTGCATGTGAAGCTTGGTCAAATCTTGTGGATCGATTTGCTTCAGTGTCTAAATCTAGAGTCAATCATCTAAAGACTGAACTGCATACAATTCAGAAAGGGGGTGATTCGATTGATAGATATATGTTAAGGTTGAAAAATATAAGGGAACAGTTAACTGCTGCTGGAGAACTCATTTCTGATAATGATGTGATAATTGCTGGGTTAGCTGGATTACCAAAAGAATTTGCCATCATCCGAACAGTCATATTAGCTAGAGAGTCTTCTATTTCTTTGAAAGAATTTAGGGCTTTGTTGCTTGGGGCAGAAAAAGAGATTGAAGGTGAATCTAGTGGTGTGTCTAACAATCTTTCTGCATTATATGTTCAAGGGTCTCAGTCTACTCCAGGTGCTTCATCAGCTTCGGGTTCTAATCCTGCAGGGCATAGTCATTTACCAGAAACAACGGGAGGTGTTCTTACCTTTTGTCCATACCCTTATTCTGCTGATCCCTATATGCACCAATATTCATCCCCATTTGTCCTCCCACAGCAATATCCACAACCATTAATTCTTCAACAGTTTCATCCTCCAGTTCATTCTTCTATTCCTTATGGTTTTGGTTATATGGGTAATGCTCCAAATTCTGGTCCCAAACCTCCATTTATGCAGAAGCCAAATTATAAGGGTAATTCTGGTTATAAGTCTAACACTGGTTTTAGGTAAGGGTTACAATACCAGTTCTTCTTCTGGATATTCTTCTGGTGCTTCCAGACAATATGGTTCGAGTGGGTGGCATGGGAATACTGAGAACAGGTCTACTACAGTGATTGAATGTCAGATTTGTAACAAAAGAGGACCTACTGCGGTTAATTGTTTTCACATGAATGGTCAGGGTCCAAGTACTGGGTTTCACATGGAGTGTCAAATTTGTGGGAGACGTGGTCACTCTGCACTTGACTGTTATCACAGGGGCAATTATGTTTTCCAAGGACAACAACCTTCTTCCAATTTAACAGCAATGGCAGCACAGCAAACTGAACAACCTATTCCTCAGGATGCTTGGATTGTTGATACTGGTGCATCTCACCATATCACTGCTGATGTCAACACACTGAGTCAAGTCACACCATTTCAAGGTTCTGATACAATTACAATTGGCAATGGGACAGGTTTATCTATTGCAAATACTGGTGCAACTACAATTAAAACCAATTCTCATAATCTTGTTCTTAACAATGTTTTACATGTGCCAAAGATAGCCCGAAGTTTACTCTCTGTTAAAAAATTATGTGCTGACAATCATAGTTGGTTTATCTGTGATGAGAATCAATTTTTTGTGCAGGACAAGAAGACAAGGGCCATCCTGCACCGAGGAAAGAGTAGAGTCGGCCAATTGTTTCAAATCCCTGTTGTCAAGCATTCAAGAGGAGCACAATCTGTGGTTCAGGAACCTTCTGTTTTTCTTGGGCAGTTAGTCAAATCCAACTTGTGGCATCAACGGTTTGGTCATCCGACTAATGAAATAATGTCAATCATGTTAAGACAGTCAAACATATTAGTTGATTTAGATGCAAGTCATAGTATATGTACTCATTGTATTCAAGGAAAGATGTGTAGACTACCTTTTTCTCCTAGCAGTGATCGGTATTGTTTTCCATTTGAAAAGGTGCATTCAAATGTATGGGGTCCTGCTCCAGTCAAAACAGTAGAAGGGTATAGATACTATGTAACTTTTGTTGATCAATATACCAAATATACTTGGATTTTTCCAATGTATAACAAATCAGATGTGTATAGCATTTTTCTGAAATTCTATAATCTTGTTCTTACACAGTTTGGTGGTGTCATTAAGTGTCTACAAACTGATGGGGGGGAGAGTACACAGGTCATTCTTTTAAAGTCTTTCTTGATGCAAAAGGTGTTGAACACTTGATTTCCTACCCATACACTCCTCAACAGAATGGAGTTGTTGAAAGAAAACATAGACATATAGTAGAAACTGCCATAACTCTTCTTGTTCAGGCTGCATTGCCAATTGAGTTTTGGTACTATGCTTATGCACATGCTGTATTCTTGATCAATAGAATGCCATGTAAAGGGTTTCTATGGAGTCACCTTATAAGAAATTGTTTGCCAAGATCCCAGAGTTAAAAAGTTTGAAGGTGTTTGGGTCAGCAGTATACCCTTGGTTAAGACCCTACTCTGTTCATAAGTTACAACCTCGATCTGCCCAATGTGTGTTCTTAGGATATTCTATTGGCTATAAAGGTGTGATTTGTTATCATGTTCAGACTAAGAAATGTTTCATCTCCAGACATGTTGTTTTTTATGAAAGTGTCTTTCCTTATGCATTGTTAAAATCCTTGGTTCAAGATAATGTTCCAATTCATTCTCAGTTTAGCAGAGTAGTGGTCCCAATTCCAGTAGTTCAGAGATCTTCAAATCAGGGGACTTCAAGTTCTCAACATGGTCAAGAAGCATCTTCTTCATCATCTACTGCAGTTCATCATGATATACCGTCTTCTTCAACCATAAGTAGTCCTATCACACGGGGATTTGAAACACAGGCAGTTTCACAAACTCTTTCCTCATCTCCACATGCAGGTCCCTTGCTTCCTGTCCTTGATCCTGCTCAGCTTCAGGTAATTCTTTCTTTGCCTCCATCACATACACACTCTCAATCACCGTCCCAGGACAATGTTATTCAAACTTGACTTAAGACTGGTGCTATTGTGCGGAGAGATTACACATCATTTCTGGCTTCATTACCTCAACTAGACTCTCTTCAGTTTCTGGATAGTAATCCTGGAGGAGTATGATGCGCTCAAATCTCAGGGTACGTGGAACCTTGTTCTTCCTCCAAGTGATAGAACAGTGATAGGGTGTAAGTGGGTATATAAGGTAAAAAGGAATCCTGATGGGACAGTGTCAAGATACAAAGCTCGATTGGTGGCTCAAGGTTTTAGTCAAGAGCATGGGGTAGATTATTCAGAAACTTTTAGCCCTGTGGTTCGACATTCAACTGTACGACTTATCTTGGCATTGGCAGCACAATTTCACTGGAGTTTAAGGCAGTTAGATATTAAAAATGCCTTTTTACATGGCGAACTTGAAGAAGAAGTGTATATGAAACAACCTCAAGGGTTTGTGGATCCAAACTGTCCAAATCATGTGTGCAGATTAGTCAAGTCTTTATATGGCTTGAAACAAGCTCAAAGAGCTTGGAATTCCAAGTTTACTAGTTTTTACCTGCTCTCGGATTCAAAACTTCGATGTCTGATACAAGTTTGTTTGTGAAAGCTGATGGGAGTGATGTTATTTTGCTCCTGTTATATGTTGATGACATAATTCTGACCGGATCCAATCCTGTGAAGATTCAAGCTGTGATTCACAATCTTGCAGATGTGTTTGATTTAAAAGATATGGGTCAGTTGACATATTTTCTGGGCCTTCAGATTCACTATAATGCAGATGGTTCTTTGTTTGTGAATCAGTCAAAGTATACGAAGGAATTAGTGAAAAAGGCTGGAATGGAGCATTGTAAGCCAACCTCAACACCTTCAAAACCACACTCTCAATTACTTACAACCGAAGGGATTCCATTGTCTGATCCTACACACTATAGAAGCTTGGTTGGAGCCCTACAATATCTGACTTTCACTAGGCCTGATATAGCACACTCTGTCAATGTCGTATGCCAATATATGACTAATCCTACTGAGTTACATCTGCATCTGGTCAAACGAATCATACGGTATCTGCAAGGTACAGCAACCTGTGGTATCCGATACACTCACTCTTCTGATTTTCAGATACATGCATACTCTGATTCTGACTGGGCAGCAGATATTAATACAAGACGATCCATTACAGGCTATGTGGTTTACTTAGGTTCTAATCCGGTTTCATGGCAGTCAAAGAAACAGGCAACGGTCTCTCGAAGTTCCACAGAGGCAGAGTACAAAGCCTTGGCACATTGTGCTGCTGATGTATTCTGGATTCGCTCTATTCTGAAGGATGTCGATCAAGTTCTTACACTACCTCCTACTTTACATTGTGATAATCTTTCTGCTCTAGCTTTATGTTCTAATCCAGTGTTTCATTCGAAGATTAAACATCTTGATACGGACTATCACTTTGTCCGAGAGAAAGTACAAAAAGGAGATCTTGCTGTTCAGTACATATCAACAAATGAGCAGGTCGCCGATGTGTTCACAAAAGGTTTGCATAGTCCAGTGTTTCTTCACCACTGTGCCAATCTTCATATTGGCGTGCCTGACACTAATCCACAATGTTCTCAACTATTGCAAGTGCCGACAGTAGCAGATCAAGATCCTATCCATGTCAACTCCTCCTCATTGTCATGATCATCTATTTCCATGCTACAAACACAATTCGGGAGATCCCAATTCTGTTTGAGGGGGGAGTATTAACCATATAGATTTGGATTAGATTGAGTTTGTTACATTTGGATTAGATTGAGTTTGTTACATTTGGATTACATTGAGTTTGTTGAAAAACAGTTAAAGTTAGAATTTGTTGAAAGGGTAAAAGTGTAAATATGCTTAGTATAGTTTCTATATAAGCCTTGTTTAGAGACTTAGAGCAGTATCATGTAATCATAAAGCTTTCTAATATTCATTGAAAACAGAAACGTCTATCTCTCTCTTTCTTACTACTTGTTCTTCGTTTTCTTTAGTCTCAAGATTTCATTGATTCCGTAGAGTTAATAGAAACCATCCCAAGCCTGAGTTGTTTTGCTCATGCGCGAAAAGGTCATCTCTGGCCAATAAGGTTTTTCGTTTTACGAGGGTTGCAGGGAGGGGGAGGGGGAGAGGGAGGGGGAGGGGAACGTCTATTGTACATATGCTTACTTTTTCTTTGCAAATAGGCTATTTTCATTACTTAAATCTGTGATTTTTCAAGTATAAAAGAGTAACATTTCCGTTATGACAAAGCTCATCTAGTGATTTACTCATGCACCTACCCTGCAAAAAGAGTGGGACAATTTGGACACTGCATTGTATTGTATTGCTTTTCATTGGGTTGAGTTGCTCAAAAGAAAGCTAATGCGTACCATGCCATTCCATCAGTCCCCTCCATCAAATAAAATACTATTACAATTTCTTTGCAACAATTATTGGTTACTAGCTTTTGCCTTTTTTTTACTCTTTTTCTTTACCCTTTTCTTCTATACTATGTATTTCACTATTGATGCTTGCATAGCAAAAGATAATTATACTGAAGTAAAAGGCAGCTGCTTTCTGAATTTTGTTTTTTTTTCAATTTACTATTCATTAACTATGTAGCGATGAAATTAACTACTATTCTAAAGTAGAATTGGTCCAAGGAGATGCGACTTGTTTTAATTATAGTAAATTAGATAGAAACATAATACGTCGACAAATAGAGGTCATGAAAAAATCATTTCAAGAGCTCAATTAGAGAAAAATGTTGAATAATGAGTCCCACATCAGAAACATGAATAAGTGACATACAATTTATCATTCAAACCGTAAAGAACATCTCAAATTGGCGAATTCTAACGTGACTAGTAATTTTTAACTTGAAAAGTACTTTTAGAGTTTTTTGAATCCGTTTTCAGTTTCAAATATCTTTCTTTCCGGTAAAGAAACTCATCGCATTGCCGCGACCCATGATGGATTTCTAGTATTTGAGGTCGTTTATGGGTCAAAAATATATTTCAACCGTTTTAGCTATTCTTATACTTTGTCATTTTATTGATGTTTGCTATTAGGGTTTCGTGGAATGTACTTTCCCATTCGATCTGTTTAAGATACTTTCTCGAAAATGAAACGGCGAGATGGATCAAGCTCATGGCCTGGCCACAACCTAAGATGGATTTCGGGTGTTTGGGGTAGTTTAATAGGTCAAAAACAAATTTGAACTATTTCGGCTAATCTTGTTTTATTTTTCTTCCCGTTTTTTTCTTTTTGTTATTAAGTTTCGTGAAACTTTATACTCTATTTTTGGGGTTTTATTTGAATCATATCTTTTCATTCCATTATCAATAAAGTTGAGAGTTTTTCTCAATTCTCTAGTGTTTCGAAACTTAATCCAAGGGCAGCCGTTTGCGATCTCTTTATCTATAACTTTCATCGTGTCAATTATTTTGATCATAAAGAAATTGATTTTTCTCTCTTAATCATTAAATTTGAATTGTTTTTTTTTCCCTAAAAGTTTGATGTTATCAAAAGCTTATATGTGAAAAACTTTTTTAATTAATAGCACACATAGTTGATAATATATAATGTGAATGATATTTGTCTAGTGACGTTTTGTTTTTAATTTTATTAGAGAAGGTCGTAAATTGAATTTACATACAAAAATAGTAACGTATAATAAGAACATGTTGATTGACATTCACATGTACATTTTCCATAGTCTCTCCGAGTTGGTGAATCTGTGTAATTGTGGCCACGGGCAGGGTGAAATTCCTCATAGCTTCGCCGGGCTCGAAAGGGGTGGATAACATTGGCTTACCACCAGTTGTCTCCCTTTATCACAAGAAAAAAAAATGTAACGCTTTAGTAGGATCTTATACCATACCTTTTAAGAACATATAACACACCCCGACCCGGGATGTCTACAAGGACTCCGAATCAAGTTGTGTTGGCTGACACCTGGAAGGTGACGTGTATTGATGTGGAAGATGTAAATAAATTTAAACCTAAAAGTGCCTAAGTACAAGAGTGCACGGTGAGCGGGTATGAATGAAGGAATTATTTTGTTAAAACATGTTCATTTGAGCAACATCATATAGCATGCAATTAACAATTAAAGGCGGAATCATGCTTGTATGCACTCAAAAACAAAACATTACCATGAAATTCAAAGCCTAGTAGATTGGTGAACCAATAATCAACTCAAAACAAAGTGAGTTGAAATTAATACCTTTGTAGATTCCTCTTTGCATAAGCAAAGGCTAATCACCCAAAGAGATAGGGGCTTCATTCCTTGCTTCTTAGATCCATGGATTTGGATGGAAGAATAGGTTCTCCAAGTTCCCAAAATTGAGAACCTCTAAGTCTCTTCACCAAGGTTAGATTGTAGAAGAAATGAGTGACCTTGGAGTAGTAGGATTGCTAGATGTACCCTCCAAGGTGTTGGCCTCTTTAGAGAGAAAATGGAGAGACAATTCTCACCAATTTTCCCCAAAATAAACCCTTTTATCACTTAATGAATATTTGGCTATAAAGTCATTTATATAGTCACTTCTTTAAGTGACCTAAATAACCAAAACCCTAATTCATACACTATGGCCGGCCATATTGGGATTTTTGGGCTTTTGGGCTTTAATGAATCTTTATTCATTAAATTGTCATACAACTTAAGTTAATGTGCTTGACGTTCGAAGCCCATTGGGCCTTAAGGTCCAAAACTATCCCGAAGTCTTTAACGAACTTATTCGTTTGATTAATTAACATATTAATTAATCCTTGCCATAAATAAATGATTAAACCATTTAATCATTCTTACTCATTTCCGTTTAATCTCCAATCTCTACCTTTTATGGTGTGCGATCCATTAGGTTCCTTTTAGCGAGGTAGTGGGCGATTAAAACCATTTTACATCGATTGTGAATTGAAACTATTTTCAATTCTCCCTTTAGTGATTACACACGTTTAGGGCTTCCACAAACCATGAGTGACACCTAGCAGCATATCATGGTTACCCAAGCTAATCAGAAGAGGTGGAGAACCTATTCAGTTCGAGATTACAAATGCAATACGGTCTTTCTCTAATCTAATACTCTTGACCACATTGTTTGGTTTGATAGTTTATTTTCTCATGTCTACTATCCAATGTGTGTCTTGTGTTTATATGATTACCTTGAATGTGATTCGGAACGCATTCCCTAATCTCATTCATACTCTGGCCAGAGATTCAAATCATATCAGAGAGTATTCTCCCTCAAACGGTTTGAAGGTTAGAGATCCCTTGTTGCGCATTCACTTGTCTCCATAGCTAAGCGGCTTGACCCCAACGATGCCGTGGACACCCTCCTGATGGAGTGACTTTGACATAATCAAAGATCAAGGTCTTAACCACAAGACAACTATGATGCCTCAGGTCAAAGGACTACTTTGCATTATCCCAACCATGAGTTCTCATGTGACATGGAATATGAGAACTCTTCGTTGATCGCGTTCAGTGAACTCATTCTCTATTGAGCACCTACCGCACTTGTCTTGATGTCACACACACCAATGATTCGAGACTAATCACTCTCCCTGAGAGAAGACATAGTACGTACCGATCTTAACGGACTGTCAATGCCCAATTGGCAATCCTATGATCAGGAACGTTTAGGATGTGTCTACGAAAGAATGGTCTCAAGAATCTAACTTCATTAGATTACATTCTCCCAATCACATATTCCTTGGACTTTATTGTTTAAGCATATAACATTTATATGAGACGGCTCAAACAATAATCTATGCCCTTTATATGTTAAACTAGATTAGTTTAACATGTGAAATGTCCGTAAAGTATCATCACATGATTGGCTTTAGGGCACATTTCCAACAATCTCCCACTTGCACTAGAGCCAATCAGCTTGGTCATCTTGATGATACCTCTTCTGTAGTCATTTCATAAATGGCTGAATAGTAGGCCTAGATAGTGGACATCTATATGTGTTATCCACATAAGCAACCTTGAGAATAACGACGTCACCATTATACATGATTCTCAATCATGTGGTTCAGTCTCTCATTTGAGTTCGGATCTTGATGAGACCTTGATTCCCAGGCTTGAGCTATCGCCCCATTAGTGTCATACACTTTCTGGTTGGAATCGAATAGAGAGTTCATAAATGAACTTTCCCATCCAAACAACATTGTTGTAAACTTCTATATGGCAATATATCTTGCATTCATAATGAAACACACTAAAGTCATTACTTTAATGTTTCCATCCAAATATCTCTTTAGTCACAATAAAGAGATATCTGTTTATCTCTTCATTCATAATGAAGAAACATCCAATGATGGATTAGATTCATAATCTAATACATTTATGCTTCCATTACGTCACTTTGATTCTTCCTCGATCTTTGAGGAGTTTATCCTTTAGTATTTCTTAAATACTTAAGGACTCACTTGACAGTTGCCATGGTTCTGATTCTGGGCTTGCACTGATATCATCTTGTACCGTTCTAGGTACAACTCATATCAATGTTTTTCATACAATATGAAATACATAAATCACCTTTCTGCGTATGCATAAAGGATTCAATTTACGCATTATTTCTTTGGGAGTCAAAAGGTACGTTCCCTTTGAGAAGGGCAACTTGCTAGTCTCACTAGAATCGTCCTTCTTATTGAAGTTTATCATCATATGA